ATATAATATTGGTGTGGAAAGATTGAGGTCATTGTGTGTATTTCTGGTTAGTTTGCAAACAGAATCACATGATGAAGTCACATGTTCAACCCATTTTCCTTCCCTCGTCATTCCAAGTTATTTATCTTCTCATCCATCAATAATCCCTCGATAATCTCACTCTTCACATGCAATTAAAGCGCTCATGTGTTGCTGGTTTCACTCTGATCCGTTGCAGCAGGCAACGCGGGCTTTATTTTTGTCTTTCTCGGCGCCAACACAAGAGAGTACCCGGGTTTGACCCGAGGTAGCGAGAGCTTCAGCTTCAACACCATTTGCGTGCTGTTGTGGAAAACACAATCCAAGTTCGGATCTGTGTTGTTCAGAATCATTTTCTGGTACAGAACCTCACAGCGGATCGCTTCCTGTTTCTCTGCTCGGGGTTTTCCATCAAATCGCAGCAGCATTTTGTCAACATCCTGCTGCGTCTTGCACGGCCCTCCGTTTTTCCTCACTGTGGCCACTATGTAGTCCCTATCCATGTTCGCCTCCTGCTCCTCTTGATGTTTCCTTTCTCTTTTACTTCTGTAATCCTTCTTCAACGGCGGACTGTACTCATATTTCTGGACAGTGTTGGTATTCTTCTTAGCCTGCCAACCGGATTCATCGGAGCTGCCATCAGATGAACCAGATCGGTCATCGTCTTCCTGGGAGCTGTCTGATGACCCGTTCCTGTGCGAAGAGCGTTTGGAGGACTTGTCAGGTCTCTTCTTCCTGTAAGGGTACGCGTGGCTGAAAGGATATTCCGCCATCAAGACGGAGAACGTGCAGCTCACCAGTTGTAAGCTCAAATCTGGCGAAGGGACTTGAGAAAATGTTCCTCCTGGCAGGAAATCCTTGAGGTGTTCCTCAGTGACAGCAGCAATCACCTTTACCATCCTCTTCAAGCAAGCCCTGATGAGGTCCCTATTTGTGTGCCACTGACCACAGTAATGAAACACCCCCTCAAAGGTTTTCTCCTGCAATGCGAACTGGTGAAAAACATTTGTGGCCCCTTCAGGCTCCAGCAGCGTTGAAGGATCTTTGGACCAATCAAGGAACTTTTGGTAGAGAGAGAGTATGTACCGGCTGAAGAGCGAGTACTCCCCTCCGCTTTTCAGAAGCTGCCAGTAAGGCCCGAGGACTTTGCAGTAAACGATGGCCAGGACACACACGAGGCTCTGTATCACAGAATCATCAGCATCGGCGGCGACGCTCTCCAGAATAATGTGTGGACATTCGTCGTTATTCAGCGAGAGCAAATCAGAGAAGAAGAGAGGGATCTCTTTGTGATGGTGAATAAGACCCGCTGCAGCTTCAAAGTAGTTGTTGAATCGGTTTAACTCATTTACCGCAAGTCTGGAGGGATTTTTCTTCTCCTCGCAGAAAGCGACCCAGTGTTTTCTGTAGTTTTGTGAACTCCGGGTGCGAGGGCTTAAGATGTCGCAAGCCATGTGAATGTAGCGTGAAGTGGCACTTTCCGACAAATTCACAAAGTTCTTGAATTGTGCAAGCTTGTCCCGGCCTAGTTTCTCTCCCCTCGATAGAACGATCTCTTTCTCGAAGTTCATGATCTGCTGCTCAACGGCATCGTGCATGTCAACAAGGAAGTTGGCGTTGTAGTTTAAAAACACCACAGGAGAGGCGAGTGAAATGTCTTCGCAGAGTGTGTCGAGTTTTTTCTCAAACTCTGCCATGGCCGGATGCTCCTTGCATGTTAGATTATACTGATTCCTGAGGAGATCTAAAGAAACTTGCTTGCATGTTGCGGTTTTCCCACCGTACACACTCGACAGCTTTTGGACAGACAGCATCGTGATGTCAAGCAGGGTCAGGGACTCTTCTTTCTTATCTGAGGTTTCTTCTCCGCTGTTGGATTCATCCGAATCACTCTCGTCATGTGAGACATGTTCTTTCAGTATTAATTTCTTTATAGCTCCTCTGTTCATGTCAGACACCTCACCTTGTGTGATTTCATAGCTCTCGTTTTCCTCTTTGACTGTTACTTTTTCATAATTTATGGTTTCATCTCTTCTCATGCGTTTCTTTACAATATGTTTCGGTGATCTTTTCCGCACAAGTTCAAATGGACTTTGAAGCAGAATATCCATCACTGCATTCCTTCTGTGACTTCTTGTTTCATAATTGCGGCAATGCAGTTTTAACTTTTTTATCTTGGCTTTGATGACTTTATACGCCTTTTGAATGTCCCCATTCTTACAAAACTCGGGGTTGAAGTTTCTAAGCCAAGTGACTAAAACGACTGGCGCAATTTTCTCCCTGGTGACAAAGTTGATCAACTCAAGAATCAATCCATTCGTGACTTCAATCGACTGCGCTCGCTCTGTAAAATCCCTCATTTCCAAAAGGTGTTGTCGCTCCACTCCGATGCTGTCACATATTGGCCCAACAAAGTTAAAGTTGACGTCTGATTCCAGGAAGGTCAGCCTCGCATCACTTCCCAGACTCAGTGTTGTTGCGATGCCTCTTTCGATCAAACGACGAAAGTCAGCCGACTGATGACTGGGGAAAATTTTCTTGAGCCACTCTACAATGGCAATCCAGGGAAAATTGTTGTCGTCTTTCAGAAGTCCTACTTGAATCAAAAGTCTGTTCTTGCATGGCGCCTTTTCAAGCTCTAATCCTTCTCCCGACTGAGGACCAATGAAGTCTGCAACAAGCTTCCAATAGTACTCATCTCCTGAGAAACAGAAAAGTTAGCAAGTTAGCTGAGAAGTAATGCTTGACAAAAAGGGTTGCAGGTTTTTAATGAAAGGATGGGTGGAGGGGATTGCAAATCAAATCTGTGACTGTGCTGGATTCAATTATTTATTTATGCTCTCTCATAGGTTACCTATACGTGGAAATGCAAGGTTTTCTGGAAGTATGAGGATTATGCTATAAAAATACAACAAATACATTTCTAGAAAGTTGTTAAGTAATCAATTACCATATAAAGAATTAGCTCATATAGTCGTCTTAATAACAGCTTTATTACTGGATCATTTTTACTTCAGATGTTTTCCACTTACTCAGATTAGCTTCAGTTACAGCCGCTTTACCACAAAGGGAGAAATCTTCACCTTCATCCATTGTGTGCTGTTTCAAGAGAGACAGAGAAGAAAACTTTCACTCATCATCATCTAGAAGCACAACCACTTAAAGAAGTAAGTGTGAAAAATGAGATATAAAGTTTGCTATGGCCCTATGGTCTAGCTGAAACTGAATGTATGAAAATGTTAAATCAATTGTGATTTATATTTTTTAACGTCCATCACTTTTATAGCTATAGGTGTTTTCTGTTAAAGGCAGTTTGTCACACATTTTGGGTTCATTCACTCTCATTCAATCCCCCAAAACAGAGAAAACAAACTGACACAAATGAGATGAAAAAATTAAAAAAAAACAATAATACCTTTAAGTAAAACTGCACCACGACACAAACAACAAGACAAACAGATTTACCTGTACCTATAATTTTCTAATAGTGTTTGAGCCTGAATGAGCAACATGAACAAGTGTCGTACTTTCATTGTTGTCCTGGAGAATGCACCACTGTGGGAAAATGCCTCCCTTTGCCATTAACGTGCACAAAAACACAAAAACTGTATGCAGAGTAACCCACTCCCTTCCACGACGCTGAAGTTGGCTTTCGATTCGCCAGCCTCCGATTCGGCACTTAAGGGGAAAGTTAAGGGGAAATTAACTTATTGTGCAGTGCGACTGTTTGTCCACTGATTGTCTGTTTTTTGTGACACTTCTTGATGTGAAAACGTTTCAGACATTTTAGGTAAGACATCAGCTTTGCCTGACACCTACGATTGTATCTGTGAAGCTTTTATTTTATTTGTGAAAATGCTAAAGGGGAGATTTCACCGTTTTTGTTTTACACCAAGACCTAGGTGCAGTGGTTTTTGATCTGGACCTGGTCTAATGCGGTCTATGTGCTGAAAAAAGTGTGAAATGTGTCTTTAATGCATTTTCACTAATAGAATAAAGGTTTCACAAATCAGAGACTGTGTTTTTATTCATCTTCAGGGTCTGTACATCAATCCAGTCCAGATTTGAGAGGTCTAGGTGCAGTGGTTTTTGATCTGGACCTGGTCTAATGAGGTCTTGGTGTAAAACAAAAACGGTGAAATCTCCCCTTTAGCATTTTCACAAATAAAATAAAAGTTTCACAGATACAATCGTAGGTGTCAGGCAAAGCTGATGTCTTACCTAAAATGTCTAAAACGTTTTCACATCAAGAAGTGTCACAAAAAACAGACAATCAGTGGACAAACAGTCGCACTGCACAATAAGTTAATTTCCCCTTAACTTTCCCCTTAAGTGCCGAATCGGAAGCCAACTTCAGCGTCGTCTCCCTTCCCTACAGGAGAAAATAAACTGTATGCATGTTTCAACGTTAACTTAGAGGTCGTTTTAATTAAACTTCAAAGTTGCTAAAGATTTAAATAGTTTAGGTGGTGCTGTTGAATAATATTATGCTGCACTATGAAAGGTGTTTCTATATATAAACAGTACAACAGCTGTTGTTTTAGATTGCATCTGTGTTATCTGTGCCACTTTGTGGAGGTTTTGGGGTTTGGGGGGGGGTCCAGGCTGTGCAGGGAACCCCTCCTACCACAAACCACCTCCGGATACAGGAGGTGTACACATGCAAGAATAATACTGGGTTTTGTTTCCTTAATCCAGACACAGCCTGCTCCACCTGCGCGCACAACTTTTTAATAAAAGCCTTAATGCTACAAATGAGTGCTAATGCTGCACTACCGTAGCCGGTGAGCAACCTAACCCCCCCCAGCAAACTTCACCAAACGGCTTTAATATACGATTAACACCAGAGCCTGAGAGCTGTGCTGCTTCCTGTGGCGTTTACAAATAACCCCAACCAACGTAGAGGCCGTCACAAGGTACCGTTAACGTTGTAAAGTGGAAGTTTCTTACCCCTGACGCCAGACGCACCGCGGGAATCACACTCGGCCGCACAATAACACAGCGACGTCACAGTGAGCGGGGGCCAGTGATTGGACAGTTTTTACAGAAGGCGGGACGTTGACGAGCTCTCCGCCAATCACGATAGGGGGACCAGAAATGCATTGTGGGTGTACTATGCTACTGTTTCCTGCTCTGCTGTCGAGGACGTGATGGTGAGTGCTTTGTTTATATTTAACGACACAGAGAACAATGTTTTATAAAGCATGTACATTATTTAATAGTCTATTCTTTTTTTAATCTCATTCTATTTAAAAAAAAATTAAAAAATAACCCGCAACAACGAGGACGGTGTCTGGGGCAAACAATCGAGGATGCGCACGCAGCTTCGAGATTGAAAATACATTTTTTGAAAAAGGTGAAATGAATCTGTTAAAAAGTACATTTGTCCGAGACACTCGCGTTTTCACAACAAGTTGGGAGACAACTCACAGTCCTACCGAGCTTTGGGACTCTTCTACAATATATTTGCATCTGTATTTACACTGCAGAGATTAAATCACCCCCACAAACACAAACTAATCTCACTCTCATTCTGTTTCCAGGTGCTGTCACTTCTCTGCCTGTGTCTGGTTTTCTTGAAGTGAGCTCGTGATAAAGACCGAGTTAGCAGCACAGGATGGATTCCTCTGAAGCAGAGGCTTTAACGCACAGTGAAAGAAAAGAAGACACCGCGCCGAGCACATCAAGTACATCAGGTCAAGGAGAAGATGGACCGAAGCCAAAGAAGGTGTCTCTGAAGAGGCCTGCTGGTAAACCTGCAAATGCAAAAGCCAAGAAGCATAAAAAAGTCTCCAGGCCTACCCAGCCCGCCTACACTGTCCATCAAGGGGAAGATATGCTTCTCGTCATATCGAGCACGACTTCTCAGTACAGCGGTTCAGCCTGGACTCCCCCAAAGAAGGGAAGCAAAAAGAAGAAGCTGACTAAAGGAAAAGTCAAAGCTAAGATTAAGAAGAAAAGGACAGTTCCTGCCAAACCTAAACTGGCCAATAATCCGGTTGCCAAGGAAAAAGAGGACACTATTGTGTTTGTGCCACAGAAAGCAACAGACCACAGATGGGGCCAGAGTCTCCCTGAGGAGGTGCTAATCAAAATCTTTCAAATGGTGGTCGTCCAAGATGGTGCTGTACCATTTCTGTGCAGGTATTAGACACGTGATAAGAAAATACTCAAAAATCCAAGATAAGAGGTTATAGTGCAGCGAGATTCTTTATATAGTTTAATTGTTTTACAAAACTATAAAATGTAATTATTTCATATATGATTCTGTATTAATTTGCAATATCATGACAATTGTTTTAAATGCAATGTGCTGATTATTTTAATCATTAACTGCTGATTTTTCTCCATTATCATTTGGTCCATTAGGACTTTCTGGTTAAATAAACTATAAAAATAGAAAATAAAGAAAAATGCCACAATTTCACCAAACTCAAGGTGATTTGTTTTGCATCCAAAACTCAGATTTATTAAATAATATCCTTTAATAACACCAAGAAAACCATCAAATATTCATCTTCAATTTCAGTAAGTTTTTGACATTTTAGCTCAAACATTATTAATCAGACGTTCAAAATTGTTGCAGATTATTTTCTGTTAGATTAATAATCTAATTAATAATCTATTAATTGACAAAACTGTTTAAAGCTCTAATTATGTTTAATGGAGATACCAGATATTAATATCAATGGTAATATGATAAGTATTGTTATATTTATTGTAACTTTATTCTTTATTCTGGTGCAGGGTGGGCAGAGTTTGTCATCTGTGGAACGCTGCAGCCTCGAGTCCGGTGCTGTGGCGTAAAGTGTCTGTAGGTCACTGCTGGATTGCACCTGGGAAAAACCAGCAACCTCAAACGGAGAAGAAGATAAAGACCACTTTCGACTGGCTGGCACAGAACAGGTCTGTAGAGGTTTGACGCGTGCGTTGTGATTCGATTTCTTATACCTAACAAAATATGAAACTATATTTCTTGTTTTTTAGATTCTCCCAGCTACGAGACTTCTCTCTCCATCACTGGACAAAAAATGTTAGCTATGCAGTAGAGGTAAGTCAATAGATATAAACTGTTATTTTATAATCGCTGAACTGAAAGGATGGAAAATTAATAAGGTCACTATTTTGATAATCGTGTAATTATTTCAGTTATTTTTTAAAAGAAAATGCAAAATATTTGCTTGTCCACCTTCTTTTTTTTGTCATATCATATATTTTGTCTCTATCTGACATTTTATAGACAAAACAATCAATTGAGGAAATAATCAGCTGATAAAAGTGATTGTTAGTTTGTTCCTCATGGACTATAATTGAAGTTGAATTCTAAAATAAGAGATCCAGCATTAAATTATGTGGGCCAGTGTTGAAGTTAGGACTCATCTTAAGGCATTTGGTGTTTTTATATATATATTTGTTAAAAAATATGTTACATATCCCGAGTTTACTATGTTTTGGTTTTTTTTCTGTTGTGATCAAATTTAGGTTGTGTCGCAGTTGTGCCCTCACCTTCGCTCCCTCACGCTCTCCTACTGTACAGGGCTGACAGTGAAGGCCTTCCACAGCCTCGGTCTGCACAGTCGGTCTCTTCAGAGCATAAACCTCCAATTTTCAGAGGTACATCAAAAAGCAGCTCTGTACATAGTGTTTGTAGAAAATGTTACAGGATTAGTTTCATGGTTATTATTTTATTTTTGAGTATTTGTTCATCTACCAGTGTCAATTTTAAACCAGACAGCCTCAGATGAAGGATATTTGTTAATTCAGTCAATTTATGTGTACAGGGTGGTCCAATGAGAGTAGTTCATTCTCTTTTGTGTGTACACAGGATAATAAAAGGTAAAAATCCAACAGTTGGACAAATATAAAACTTACAATCTTGCAAATGAAGGATACGATAGAACAGGATCTCTAAATTATGAATAGTTATTGTCCAATTTGATACCCCGGTCACAGCTCGCAGTTCCCAGCAGGTGTTCATTTCCCACCTGCTTGTTTACATACATTGTAGATTTGTAGAAATCCTTTTTTTTTGCTGTAGTTTCAGGTTGAAGGACTCCTGGAATACCTTGAAAATCATGGGACCCAGATCAAGCAAATTTTGTTCACTCATGGAATGAAGAATGACAGACTTCTAACTGCAATCACTGTAAGTTGTTTTCATCATGTTTTTTAAAATGTGTATTACAAATAGCCCAAGCCACGGAGCACAGATGAACGTGGTATTTGTTTTTTTCAGAGGGGATTCTGTCCCGATTTGGAGTTTTTGGAGGTCAACACAAAGCTCGACAGTAAAGATTGTGAACTTCCAGTTTGCATCCAGGCGCTACAGATGGCATGTCCTAAACTCAAGGTAAAAAAATCTGTGTGACTGTATGTAAATGTCACTGAATTAATGTTTTATGTATTTGGTACTATAAGTTCATTGTTTTGGAGCCACAACACTGTTAAATAAGGAATCAGGCCATTATAATTTATTCATTTTGCATCTAATGTACATAGGAAGTGTAATTCTATTAGAATTAGTTGATCATCAGAAAATTAACTGGCAACTATTTTCATAATAATGTTCAGTCATTTTTCAAGCAAAACAACCAAACTTGAGCTGGTACCAGCTTCTCAGATGTGAGGATTTCATTCTTTGGGTTTCGGACTGTTTGATAGACAAAACTAGACATTTGAAAATGCAACTTTGACTATTAAAGAAAATAATTGTTTGTGTGATGTAATAATTAATATAATAATTTGTTGCTATCTTGTCTCCTGTCAGTCATATATTTTTTCGCTTTTCCTCCTATGTGTCCTTGTCAGTGTGTAATGAATCGGTATACTATGTGCAGCGTGTTCACCTATGAAACGTCTACTGTACTTCCCATCAGACCTTCCGGATGCTGAATGTCAGACCTCTGCATAAGAAAATGCGTACTGGTGCCGATTCAACATTAGGCTTCCCGTTACTGGAGGAGCTATGTATCGCAACCACTACTTATTCCTACATGACCGACAAAGATTTGTGGGACATTCTCTTTGGTTCCACCAGGCTGCGGGTGCTGGACCTGCGAGGCTGTTCACGAATCACACCCTCTGGACTCTCAAAACTACCCTGTCTCGGTAGGGCTGACTCAAGAGATTCATACTTTGTTTATATTTAATCCACAATGGCCTTAAAAGGCATGAGGCGTAGAAATATTTATGTTTTCTTATACTTAATGCCTTTGAACACTTATTTTGAATTTACTAATAAAATATCCAACTTTGTTCATAATATCAGTGGTGTGAATTTGCATCTAAAATTATTAATCTGTTGTACCTTCTTCTGTGTGTGATTTGGCAGAGCTTGAGTGTCTGTTCTGGGGACAGTATTTCAGCAGCAGTGTTGGGTTGTCATCACCTAAGGCGGGGATTCACATGGTGACCCAGAAATGGAGACAAACACTGCAGCAGCTTGACATTTCAAACCAGCTCTTCACTGCGGAGGACTTGGAGATAGCTATGAGTAACCTCGCTCAGGCAACAGAGGCAGATACTCTGCGTTCACTCAACCTCAGTGGGACCAGGATCACACCACCTGCCCTCAGGTACTCAATGTATAATTTTCCCTCTTTACTCTACCGGTCCAAATAATCCATTAAACTATGAACCAGCCCTTTTAAGAGACAACGTGCAGGCCTACAGAACTGATCATAAATCAAACATTCACATTTGTAATTTCCTAAATGCTGCAGGTTTATCTTTCAAAGAAGATCATAAAAAAATCATTTACTTTATTTTGCAGGTCCGTCATCGGCCAAACGACTGCTCTTAGCTACCTCAATCTTTCATCCTGCCGTTATCTTCCAAGAGGAGTAAAGAGAATTTACCGTGGCCAAAAAGACATTCACCAACTGCTGGACAAATTGGACTAGTTCTCATATTCATTTGGTTCCAGAAATCATAAAAACTTATAAGAATGTCTTAAAACATGACTCTTTTGTGGATTATGTTGTTTAAGTATTGTAGATCTTTTACACTCACACAATTTTGTAAATAAAATAAAATTGAATTGATGTTGTTGTTTTAGAGGTGTACTGTTCACACAAAACAGACAGTTTATGCAAAATCACCCCTTACTGTGATTAGAGAGCAGAAACCAAGCGTTTTGAATCAGGTAAGGGTCAATAAGAGCACTGTCTACATGTAGCTTGAGAAGTGACATTGACATATTAGATTTAAATACATGTATATGTATCGCCACATTGAGTAGTGTATTCCAGGAGTTTTGGACTGTAATTTTGACTTGTTTTTAATACCAGGTTACAATAATTCCAGATAAACGTTTGTCAAAAAATATTTGAAATTAGAAATAAATGTTCATCATGTCACCTTAAACTTGGTTATGACATTTCTTTCCACTAGAGAGTGCTGTACTATCAAGCTAAATTTACAGAATGGCCAAATTACTTCTTGTTGCACTCAAATATGCATTCAGTTCAGTGTTTCAAGTAAGAGACCTGTGTTAAGTGTTAACTTTTGATTTGCTTTTATTGTTGTTGATTCTAAATGTTTTCCAACCCATGTGGAGACTCTACAAATAGGAAACTCTTGTACAGTATCCGTCGTACAGAGTCAATACACATCAAGATCAGTACGTTATTTGAGATGTATGAGCAAAATTGTTGGGGAAAAAAAGCCAAGAAATAGTATTTACATCTTATTTATTGAGTCGCACAATGAAACAATTTGAATAAGAAAGGTTTTACAATAATTAAAGAAAAACAGGAAGTGTATGGCTGGCTTCCAGGTGAGGTCAAAGTAGGCCTAGCAAAACTAGGTACTGTACTCACATTTGACTTACTTAGAAAACAGATTTTTGTAAGAAAAAAATTACATTACATGTCAAACATAAGTCCAGTTTCTATAGGTGGAGTAAAAATACTTATATCAGTGTGAAAACAATCAAATCCATAGATCCCGCAAATGACAAGAAACAATAAAACAAGGAAAATAAGTATCACAGACCCAGAATGCTGGATACAACAATTACTGCCATGTATGTATTCAAATAAGATCAAAATTGGGTAATTACTCGAAAAAGACCAATATAGAAAAATGTATATATATGCTACTTTTTAGTCTTAACGCCCATTTAAAAAAAAAAAAACAACAAGCTTTTTTCACAGCAGACATTTGGCATACCAAACACAGGTAGCTAATAACTTTTAACTCCCTATTTGTATTGTATACTTTTTATGTGATTATTAAAATCTTAAAATTAGACAGTTTTTGCAGAGGTTTCAATGTCAGTTTCACCAGGTTGTGTTCACTTTAGGGTTTTAATAATGGACGAAATTGGTGTTTCAGTGCTATGGCCTTGGTTTTGTGCAGGCTGGCTCGAAGGTCTACAGTGCTCATGGTGATCACAAATTGTCAACAAGACACATCTCTTTATAATAGAATAACACATTTTCTATAATCCCTTTCTCAAACTCTTTTTCAAGCATGAATAACTAACAATATTCAGCACAGTACAGTATGCTATTTATTTTTCTGTCCAAATGTCTCTAAGGACAAACTAAAGAGTTTAAAAAAAGTGCAGTAAAATTATTTTGTGACTAAGAGAGAAAATAATACTAATTGCAGTTCTGTTTAAAAAAATCCAATAACACGAGCAAAGCACAAGAATTTATAGTTGTAGAAAGGTTTTCTTTCCTTTACTTGTGCAAAGGAAGTAAGCTAAGGCCTGTGATGGGATCTGTAACACACCTCTCAACCAGCTGGAGATAGGTGAGGTTCTCCTGAGTGTTGGGATCAAAGAAGCCCTTGGTGTCATCATCAGGGTCCGACAGAATCTGATTCATTTCCTCATCAAAGTAACCTCTTTCATATGCCACCTCTACAGGCACTCTGTGACTGTGCACTGGGTCAATTATGCCTCCTGTGGCAATTTGTGCTTCAAGGAGACGAATTCCGTGATCTTTCACAATGAGATCTTTTTTCAAGGCCTGGAACAAAGAAATTGTGTTTCCAGTGTAGGGATCTTTGTAACCAGTAACTGCTCTTTCTGCTGAAAGCAGCTTGTTTTTCCACTCACTGCCAACCACTCTTTCAGCCACAGCTTCCTCTACAGACAGTTTCTTGTTGTTCACTGGATCGATGACAAAGCCAGTGGCCGCTTGGGCCTCCAGTAGAACAAGAGAAGTTCCAGGAGTCAGCAGACGTTTGCTTTTTGCGTCATAGATACTTAGGGTCTCTTTGGTGGACTGCAGGTACACCCCGGCAATGCTGTTAGTTCCCTCTAAGTACTTACGTACTGACTCCATTTTGCTTATTTCTGTCACTGTGACATTTCCAGCGCTAAGATCTTTATAGAGGTCCTCATTGATGATTTGCGATTCAAGCAACTCAGTAGCAGTGACATCCTTTCTGATTCCATGAAATTTTTGAACTTCACTTGTCTCTGTGATTGTGGTGATAGTAGTTTTTGTTGTGCTGCTGTCCACTTTTGTTTCTGGTGGTTGGCATTTGACGATTGATGAAGATGAGGTTGTTGTGGTCTGCTGCTGAATGATGGTCAGAATGATTTCCAAAAAGCGTTCGATTGTGATTGATCCAGACTTGTACTGTTGCACAAGTTCTCTCCTCTTCTCCTCAGTGATGTATTTGGAGTAGAGCAGATCCCACAGAGACACTGTTGTTCCTTGGTATTTCCCTCCTGCTCTGGTTGTTGTGGTAGATTTCAGAATGAGTTTTGTTGCTTCATCAACAAAGAAATAGAACTCGCCTTTCTTAGCAATGACCAGTAAGCTAAGGCCTGTGATGGGATCTGTAACACACCTCTCAACCAGCTGGAGATAGGTGAGGTTCTCCTGAGTGTTGGGATCAAAGAAGCCCTTGGTGTCATCATCAGGGTCCGACAGAATCTGATTCATTTCCTCATCAAAGTAACCTCTTTCATATGCCACCTCTACAGGCACTCTGTGACTGTGCACTGGGTCAATTATGCCTCCAGTGGCAATTTGTGCTTCAAGGAGACGAATTCCGTGATCTTTCACAATGAGATCTTTTTTCAAGGCCTGGAACAAAGAAATTGTGTTTCCAGTGTAGGGATCTTTGTAACCAGTAACTGCTCTTTCTGCTGAAAGCAGCTTGTTTTTCCACTCACTGCCAACCACTCTTTCAGCCACAGCTTCCTCTACAGACAGTTTCTTGTTGTTCACTGGATCGATGACAAAGCCAGTGGCCGCTTGGGCCTCCAGTAGAACAAGAGAAGTTCCAGGAGTCAGCAGACGTTTGCTTTTTGCGTCATAGATACTTAGGGTCTCTTTGGTGGACTGCAGGTACACCCCGGCAATGCTGTTAGTTCCCTCTAAGTACTTACGTACTGACTCCATTTTGCTTATTTCTGTCACTGTGACATTTCCAGCGCTAAGATCTTTATAGAGGTCCTCATTGATGATTTGCGATTCAAGCAACTCAGTAGCAGTGACATCCTTTCTGATTCCATGAAATTTTTGAACTTCACTTGTCTCTGTGATTGTGGTGATAGTAGTTTTTGTTGTGCTGCTGTCCACTTTTGTTTCTGGTGGTTGGCATTTGACGATTGATGAAGATGAGGTTGTTGTGGTCTGCTGCTGAATGATGGTCAGAATGATTTCCAAAAAGCGTTCGATTGTGATTGATCCAGACTTGTACTGTTGCACAAGTTCTCTCCTCTTCTCCTCAGTGATGTATTTGGAGTAGAGCAGATCCCACAGAGACACTGTTGTTCCTTGGTATTTCCCTCCTGCTCTGGTTGTTGTGGTAGATTTCAGAATGAGTTTTGTTGCTTCATCAACAAAGAAATAGAACTCGCCTTTCTTAGCAATGACCAGTAAGCTAAGGCCTGTGATGGGATCTGTAACACACCTCTCAACCAGCTGGAGATAGGTGAGGTTCTCCTGAGTGTTGGGATCAAAGAAGCCCTTGGTGTCATCATCAGGGTCCGACAGAATCTGATTCATTTCCTCATCAAAGTAACCTCTTTCATATGCCACCTCTACAGGCACTCTGTGACTGTGCACTGGGTCAATTATGCCTCCTGTGGCAATTTGTGCTTCAAGGAGACGAATTCCGTGATCTTTCACAATGAGATCTTTTTTCAAGGCCTGGAACAAAGAAATTGTGTTTCCAGTGTAGGGATCTTTGTAACCAGTAACTGCTCTTTCTGCTGAAAGCAGCTTGTTTTTCCACTCACTGCCAACCACTCTTTCAGCCACAGCTTCCTCTACAGACAGTTTCTTGTTGTTCACTGGATCGATGACAAAGCCAGTGGCCGCTTGGGCCTCCAGTAGAACAAGAGAAGTTCCAGGAGTCAGCAGACGTTTGCTTTTTGCGTCATAGATACTTAGGGTCTCTTTGGTGGACTGCAGGTACACCCCGGCAATGCTGTTAGTTCCCTCTAAGTACTTACGTACTGACTCCATTTTGCTTATTTCTGTCACTGTGACATTTCCAGCGCTAAGATCTTTATAGAGGTCCTCATTGATGATTTGCGATTCAAGCAACTCAGTAGCAGTGACATCCTTTCTGATTCCATGAAATTTTTGAACTTCACTTGTCTCTGTGATTGTGGTGATAGTAGTTTTTGTTGTGCTGCTGTCCACTTTTGTTTCTGGTGGTTGGCATTTGACGATTGATGAAGATGAGGTTGTTGTGGTCTGCTGCTGAATGATGGTCAGAATGATTTCCAAAAAGCGTTCGATTGTGATTGATCCAGACTTGTACTGTTGCACAAGTTCTCTCCTCTTCTCCTCAGTGATGTATTTGGAGTAGAGCAGATCCCACAGAGACACTGTTGTTCCTTGGTATTTCCCTCCTGCTCTGGTTGTTGTGGTAGATTTCAGAATGAGTTTTGTTGCTTCATCAACAAAGAAATAGAACTCGCCTTTCTTAGCAATGACCAGTAAGCTAAGGCCTGTGATGGGATCTGTAACACACCTCTCAACCAGCTGGAGATAGGTGAGGTTCTCCTGAGTGTTGGGATCAAAGAAGCCCTTGGTGTCATCATCAGGGTCCGACAGAATCTGATTCATTTCCTCATCAAAGTAACCTCTTTCATATGCCACCTCTACAGGCACTCTGTGACTGTGCACTGGGTCAATTATGCCTCCTGTGGCAATTTGTGCTTCAAGGAGACGAATTCCGTGATCTTTCACAATGAGATCTTTTTTCAAGGCCTGGAACAAAGAAATTGTGTTTCCAGTGTAGGGATCTTTGTAACCAGTAACTGCTCTTTCTGCTGAAAGCAGCTTGTTTTTCCACTCACTGCCAACCACTCTTTCAGCCACAGCTTCCTCTACAGACAGTTTCTTGTTGTTCACTGGATCGATGACAAAGCCAGTGGCCGCTTG